TCGATTTACCTAATTGAAAAAAGTCTAACCTATATATATATATGTGTGTGTATATTGCCGTCACAAAAGTTTGAAGAAACACGTCTTCTTATTTTCATAGGTAATAATAATTTTATTATAATATATTTCGGGATGAGATTGCAATGAGTTTATGGAATGCTCGTAGGTAATAATAATTTTATTATAATATATTTCTCTAAGAACTCATAAGTTTTCAAGATTTTAAACGTTATTTTTTTAGGATTGTTGGATTTTTTTAATGATGTTACTTATTATGAATGATTCAGAAGTTCATTATTTATTATGTTCAAATCAACATAAAATTTCTAAATTATAACAATTTTTATTTGCATAAATTAATTTAATTAAAACTACAGCACATATCTTATAGTTACCAATCGTGTTTTTATTTTAATATTACAGCTACAGCTTAATATGTACAGCAAAAAAATCTGCAGCCTAAAAATGTACAGCCTAAAAAATGTACAGCTACAGCCAAAACATTTACAGCAAAAATTCTACAGCAATTAATCTACAGCTACCGCCGAACCAATCACCCACATAGTCTATCAACATTTTCAAATGTAGATATTTGAATAGTAAAACAAGATTAAAAGTAAAAAAATTTACCAACTTTAAATAGGACTAAGAAAACTAATAGTTTCAAAAGATGTGATAAAATTTAATTATAAATCACATGACAAAAACATAAAAATTAATGAATAAATTATATTCTTCTTGATTAATGGTTTTACAGTAACATTTTTACTTTGATTTTATTTATATTAACGGGTGATCTAATTTTGTTTACCACAATTAAATATTTTATTTTCTATAGATTTATCAAAAATTAAATCACAAACCCGCATATATGCGGGTCTTTCATCTAGTCTATCTATACAGTTAATTGGCAACTAGTTTTAGTACTCAATCCATCGAATAATTACACTTATTTATTAGCCGTTGATATCGGTTTATTTGAAAAAAAAAACCAACTCCAAAAACAATTGAGAATTGGAATATTTTCGTCTAGAAAAACTAATACGGTTAAAACTGAGACATATTTAATCCTTGTACCCAAACATCCCTCTTTAAATTAAAACCCGTGAATCCTCTGTTTGGCCTGATTTCGCTTGAAAAAATTATAGAATAATCGTATTCGATCTTGGACGAGTCGAGTTATCCGGAGATAACTTTAGCCCATGCGGATCCTGGTAATAAAAAAGATTTAATTATTTAATATTTTGTTTTTAGAAAGAATTATTTAAAAATTTAAAAGGATTGTAATCTTTCTTTACAAGTTTATCAAAAATTAGAATCAAAACTACATAAAAAAACATGATAATTGTGTCTTTCTTAACAACCCTATAATCTTATATCTAATAGTTGAGTTGTAGTCTTTCACTCACACTCGTGTTTGCCACATCAGCTCTCCCCTTTATGACACATCATCATTTATTT